TTAATTAATTAATTATTAAAATTTAAGTGAAAGAAAAATATGAAAATAAGTTTAAAATAAAAATAGTAGGTAATATATAAACAAACCAATTCATCATTGAATTCAATATTTTGAGAGCTATTGATTGAAGAATCATTAACTAATCAATAAATTATCTAAATAACTAAAAAACTAACTAACTAATTCTAATATTCTAAATAGCAAGTAACAATTTGCATTATTTTTATAAAAAATACTTAATTAATTGATTAATTAATAAATAAATACATTTATTTTAATTATTTTAATAGGGAGTAATAAATTAAAATATATCTATGAAAGGACTTGTTAATTAATTACAATATTATTAATTAACTTTTCAAAAATATAAATAATAGGGTGTAAATATATTTTAAAACATTTTATAATTAAAGATTTTTAACTATCTTTTATATTAAAATAGACAGTAAGATATTTCATGATTTAAATAAATAAATAAAACAAAATTATTTTGTTAATTTATTAAATAAATCAATAATTCATTTATTATTTAAATTTAAATAGCAAGTAATATTTTTTATTCACTTTCAAGTTTATACTAGAGAACCAATCTATCAATTACTAAATTAATTAATTAATAAATTAATCAACTCATTAATATTTATTTTCAAAATAGATGGTACGGGAAGTAATAATTTTTGAATGATTTAAATTAATAAAAATTTATTAGCTAAATAAATTAATTTATAAATAAAACATTCAAAATAGACCATTGTAATATTTTTAAATCTATGATTTTGAGAGATATAAATTAACTACCTAAATAAATATAGCGGCAAAGAGTAATATTTTTAATTAATTTTAAACTGAAAGATACTGAACTAGCTAACTATAAAAATTAATAAAAATAGATTGGAGTAATCTTATTAAATGATTTAATATTGAAAAATGCTAAGCCAATTTTAAAACTGAAAATAGTGAATTGTAATATTTTTAAATAATTTTAACTTTAAATTAAATAAAATAATTTTCAAATAAAAAATAGTTTGAAGTAATATA